CGGGGCCCGGACCCCGAGCGGCGCACTCACCAGGAAGTCCTCTTCGCAGAACACCTTGCCGTTGACGAAGTAGAAGGCTTTTCCTCTGAGTCTGCGGCCTAGGAGAGGACACAGAGACGGGGAAGAAGGGACGGCGCTGACACTGCGAGGAGAGAGGGGCCGGCCGGCCCGGGGCCCTCCGCGCCGCGCGCGCTGTTCCCGGGAGCCCCATCCCGGGTAACGCCGCTGCGCCCCGGAGGACGTAAGGCCACCTGGCCGGCTCACACCAGCGGGCTGCGCGGCGCTCTCGAGCCTGCCGGCGAGGCTGCGCTGGCGAACCCGGCCAAGGATCAGAAGACGGCCCCATCCGAAAACGAGCAAAGGGCAGCAAGGGGAAGCGCCTAGAAAAAGCCTGCGCAGTCACCGGGGCTGTTAGCGACAACCCGGTGCCCGCAGCAGAACACAAGACCCCAGTCCACCAGCTGCCAGCGCGACGAAGGAAAACCACCGCGAGATGCTACCGTGCTTCCTAGATTGGCCACAACGACTGTCTGTAACAAAACGAGTTTGGTGACCGTGGGTGGGAGAGTCCATTGGGATGACCAGCCGGGAACACGTCATCAAGTGCCGGCGGAGCTGAGAAGCCACATAAACCCCCCCACGGGGCAAGGGCTGCCCTTGAGAAGCCCCACAAAGCTGCAGAAGGGGCCCACATGCGCGGTTACAGAGGAACCAGGAGCACCCTCAATGTTCCCCACAAGAGTTGATGATAAACTGAGAAAGACTCTGGAATGACAGTCGATGGATGAGGTACTACACAGCAGTCAACAGGAGAGAGTGCGATCTATGTATGCCACTGTTAACCTAACCTAATGTACTAGTATGCAAATAAGGCAGGGTTTCCCAAGATGCACCAGTACGGCAGTGCATTTGTAAATGGCAGCTCACACTGTCTTCCTCTGATTTTTTTTAAAGCAGGGTCTCACTATGTAGTCCAGGCTGGCCTTGAACTCACTATGTAACCAAGGCTGGCCTCGAACTTATGACAATCCTCCTGCCTCAGCCTCCTGTGTACTAGGATTACAGGTGTGCACCATCACCACCACGCCCAGCCACTGATGGTTGTATATGAGGTCGGGGACACACTCTGCATTACAGCAGCTGCCCTAGAGAAGGAAGAGGGGAGATGAGAACCAAGATGATTCTCAGTATCTACCATATTCTGGTTTCTTTCAAAAATACATAGAACCAAAATGCCATGGATGTCTGTGCAGTCTAGGTGGCAGGGAAGTAAGTTTTATTTCCTACATGTAATACACAGAGACGCAGACACACTACACGCACCTCTATCTGTACATAAAACACGATCTACCAGAGGCAGTAGCAAACTAGAGAAAACATCTGTTACATGACAGAAAAAAGATAATCCCAATACGCAAATAACTTACAGCTCTATATGAAAAATAGATAAAGGGCAGTCAGACAAGGTAGAGCACACCTTTAATCCTAGCACTCTGGGAGGTGGGCTGAGGCAGGAAGACCGCAAGAGCTGGCCTAGATAGTTCTAGCAATTTAGTGGGTCCCTATCTCAAAAAAAATTTTTTTTTAAAAGGCTGGGGGTGTGCAGTCATTCAGTTAAAAGGCCTTCAGTTCAATCCTCAGTACGCAAGAGTAAGTAAAGTAAATAAATACTGGGGGAAACAAACCACAAAGGAAGTAGCATAGACCAGTAACTATAAAAGGAAACCTCCAGCTTTTCTCATATCTAGAAGACTATAAATTATCATAGGCGCCGAGGTTGCAACTCCACGACAGAGTGCTCGCCTAGCATGTGTGACACCTCGGTTCAATCCCCAGCACTGCAGAAAATAAATAATAATTGGCAAAGGTTGAAAAGAGTGACAGCCAGTGCTGGTGGCAACATAGACTCTCACACTCTGGAGGAAAGTAGCAACAGAAACGAATTTTTAGAATAGAAATTTGGTATTAAATATCAAAATTCTGATTTTTTTTTTTACCCAAAAAGTTCTAGTTCAGTATTTATCCTAGAGAAATCATCAAAATTAGATGCGCTAGATCCTCATCTCAGCACTATTTATAGTGGCTTACCAAAGCACGAAGCAAATGTCCCATCCTAAGGAAATAAATGATGACATGCACACCTGTTGTAGTATTACACAGCCATAAATGATCCCGTTTTCCAATAAAGATTTAATGACAGAAAATATGTAAAATATTTTAGGGGTATTCCACATGCTACGTGTGCTTGCGTGTGTATGTGTGTTAGATACAGTTAATGGCTATACCTACTCATCCATGTGTGTTTGCAAAATTATATGCACACTCACACACATATGTACACCAAATGTAAATGGTCATTATCTCTTAGTGTAAGAAACCAGTGATTTTTCATTAGTCTTTTTCTGCAATGACTGTGTGTCAGTTCTATAATAATGGACTAGCGGAGTGTGGGAAGGCCCTGGGCACAACTCTAGCTCTTTGAAGCTCCCTGCCTGCCTGTCCCTCAAAGCTATGGCCACCCTCACTGCTAGGTCCCCAACCTCGAAGCCTAACTGTTATTTCCTGACTCTGCTAACCTAGGCTGACGGGAATGTCTTCAGCCCAGCAATTTTGGGATTCATCAGGAGAACACCCTGGGCAGCTGTGAGATTAGTTTTAATTACTTCCCTAAGCCCTTCGCTGTATAAAAGGGCCGCAGCAGAGAGGCTCGGGTTTGAGAAAAGCAGATGAGCACCCCCAGCCGGCAGATCTCTTCTCTTCGCCTCCCACTCCGTTGGACCCTGGGCGAGAGATCTGCTGCACGCAGCCCCTCCCAGGATGTCAGCTCACTTTGAGAAGACCTGCCCAGGCAGGCAGGAAGACAAGCCACTCATTGTCTGATCACAAGTAAGTCCAGGTCGCGTGGGCCTGGGGCCTGGGGCCTGGCCCTTCCTGCCGAGTAGGTTGCAGGCCCCTAGAGGGAGCCCGGCCTCCGCTCCCCAAGCCGGGTGCTAGCCAGGAGCCCCTGGGGTGGGGAGCGCTTTTATTTTACAAAGGGTCAGGCCGCCTCTGCATCAGGACCCATGGGGAACGACCATCACGGCGAACTCAGGGTTTCTGTTGTTCTGTTTTTTTGAGACAAGGTCTTGCTATGTACTCTGGACTGGCCTTGAACTCACTGTAGCCCAGACTGGCCTCGAACTCATGGCAACCGTCCTGCCTCAGCCTCCTGATTGCTGGGATTACAGGCCTACGGCACCACGCCCGGCTCAAACCCAGGGTTTTAACAAACACAAATCAGCAAGAGCGCTCCCCAGGAAGTCAGCAAGGAGGCTGAAGCCAGCGGCGGGGCCACTGTCCCTGCTGCCCTGTGAAGCGCTGTCCCAGCTCGAGGGGCTATCGGGGCTCCACTCTAAAGCCGCTAAGCATGCGGGTAAATGCGGGTAAATGCGGACTCCGACCCACGCTGGAGGCCTGGTGGGGGCAGTTACAGCAAACAGAGTGCATCTCAACCACCAGATGTCACATGGCCACTCAAGTACCATGCCAGGCTGGCATGGGCACTGCACTCAGCGGGGCAGCAGGCTGGGACAGCTACACCACGGCGGGTGGGCAGCACCAGGAGGAGTCCAGTGGGGCATCCCACTGTCCACTATCTGGACCTTAGTATTGCAAACTCTCCCTCCCCCCCCATATTAGGTACACTGGTAGGTGGCATCTGAGAGAAGTCAGTCTCACTTTAGTGTGTGCAGGCGCGGTACTAGACTGACTCCAGGACCTTTTTCCTGACATCCCCAGCCCTTTGGATTTATTTTGAAACACCATCTTACTGAGTTGCCTAGGCTGAGCTCAAACTTGTGATCCTCCTGCCTCAGCCACCCAGAGTGCTAGGATTACAGGCCTATACCACCTTGCCTGGCTGACATTGTGCTTCCTTTTTACTTCATTTTTATATTCCATTTTTTCTAGAGTGGTGTGTAATTAATAAAAAAAACTTACACTATAAAAAGAAAAAAAAACTTAAGAATTGTGTATATCAAAAAAAAAAAAAAAAAAAAAAAAACAACCCACAGAATTGTAAGCAGATCCAGCACCAAGCAAGGCCGCTGCACCTGCGCTCAATGGGGGACGTTTATATGCTGTTTGCTGCTTCTGGCTTCCCTGCCCTTCCTGAATATCTGCTGGTGAGCAAGCACTGCTCTGTGCTTCATTTGACTGATCTTTTTATTTTGAGACAGGGTCTTGATATGCACCCCATGGCCTTGAACTCATGGCAATCCTCCTGCCTCAGCCTCCCGAGTGCTGGGATCACAGGTGTGTGCCCAGCCTGAGCTTATTTTAGAGCTCCCCCCGATGACTGCACACACCTCCCTGCCCCCAGAGCTGGGCAGTACCCCGCCAGACACCAGAGGCCAGAGGGCCGAGTGGCTGCCTCCCAGTCCCCTTACCCAGAAATCAAAGCTCGAGTCCCACCCCCCCACCGCACACCGATGACCCTCAAAGGCAGAACCGAGTCCGCTCTTGAGGACTCAAACTGCGGTTTTCACTACAGGTTTGCAAACCTGCCACACTCATGTCGGCGTGGGGCAGAGGGGGCCTGACACCTGCTGACGGCTCCTGTGTCCCAGGCATCGCGGCTGCGGCTTGCAAGTCTTTCTGTAAGTGATTTCCAGCCCTCCGTCCCTGGGCTGCCACCCGCCTTCACAGCAAGTGCGCACGGCCGTCCTCCACGGCCGGCGCCCCAGG